TCTGTCTAAAAATGAATGGAAAAATATTCTTCGGTGAGGATTTAAAAAAGAAAATATTATGAGCAACTATGCAGCAACAAATTGAACAATCTGGATGAAATGCATAAATTCCTAAAGAGATACAATCTTTTTAAACCAAATCAGAAAGAATCAGAGAATCTGAATAGACCAATTACAACTAGTGAAATTAAAGTAGTAATAAAAAAAGTGAAAAAAACTACCAGCAAACACAAGTCCTGGACCTAATTGCTTCACAAATGAATATTACCAAATATTCAAAGAACTAATGCCTGTCCTCAAACTATTCCAAAAAATTCAAGCAAAGGGGAGACTCCCAAGCTCATTTTACAAGGCCATCATTGTCCTAATACCAAAATTAGATAAAGACACTTCAAAGAAAGAAAATTATAGGCCAGTATCCCTAATGAACACAGATGCTAAAATATTCAACAAAATATTAGCAAACCAGATCCAGCAATACATTAGAAAGATCAACACCAGGATCAAGTGGGATTTATTCCAGGGGTACATGTTTGATACTATATCTACAAATCAATAAATGTGATACACCACATAAAGAAAATTAAGGATAAAAACCACATAATCATATCAATAGATGAACATTTGATAAAATCCAGCATCTATTTATGATAAAAACTCTCAACAAAGTGGGAAAAGACATACATAACTCAGTATAATTAAGCCTATATAAAACAAACCTATAGCCAACATCATACTCAATGGGCAAAAACTACAAGCATTTTTCTTAATTTTGGGAACAAGACAGGAATGTTCATCTTCACCACTCTTATTCAACATAGTACTGGAAGTCCTAGCCACAGCAATCATACAAGAAGAAATCAAAGGTATTCAAATAGAAAAGGAAGAAATAAAACTGTCATTATTTATAGATGGCATAACACTGTATACAGAGAACACTAAAGATTCCACCAAAAAAACTACTAGAACTGATAAATTAATGCTGGAAAGTACAAAATAAATATCCAAATATCAGTTGCATTTTTATACACTAAAAATCAACTATCAGAAATAAAAACTACAACAGCAATTATAATACAATCACTTCAAAAAAAGTAAAATGCCTAGGAACCAATTGAACCAAGAATGTAAAAGAATAGTACTTGGAAAATTATAAGACACTAAAGAAAGAAATTGAAGAAGATTAAAATAAGTGAAAGTACACACTGTGTTCATGGACAGGAAGAATTAATATAATTAAAATGTCCATACTACACAAAGAAATTTATAGATCCAATACAATTCCTATCAAGATACCAACTGAGTATTTCACAGAACTGGGACAAATATTCCACAAATGTGTTAAACCACAAAAGACCCCAATAACTACAGGAATCTTGAGATTGAAGAACATGTTGGAGGAATGATGTTACCTAATATCAAAACAGCATGATACTGGCATAAAAACAGACAAAATATCAATGGAACAGAAAAGAGAGCTCAGGAAAAAAAAAAAAAACCAGGCTTTTTGGGCCAATTAATATTTGATAAAGGAGGCAAAAATGTACAATGGGGTAAAGATAGTCTATTCAATAAATGGCTTTGGAAAATTAGACAAACACATGCAAAAAAATGAGAGTAGACCACCTTCTTACACCATACACAAGAATAAACTCAAAATGGATTAAATATGTAAATTAGATGCAAAGCCATAATAATCCTAGAAGACAACATAGGCAGTAAAATCTCAGATATTTCTCTTAGCAGTATTTTTTATGATATATTGCCTTGGGCAAGGGAAAAGAAAAAATAAACTATTGGGACCACATCAAACTAAAAAGATTTTACACAGCAAAGGAAACCATCAACAAAATTCAAAGAAAATCCACTGAATGGAAGAACAAATTCACCAATCATTCATAAGATAAGGGGATAATATCCAAAATTTATAAAGAACTTATGAAACTCAACACCAAAAAAAAAAAAAAAATCTAATTTAAAAGAGGACATAACACCTGAACAGACACTTCTCCAAAGAGGGCATACAGATGACCAATAGACTATAAAAAGATGCTCAACATCACTAATCATCAGAGAAATGCAAATGAAAACCACAATGAGATGTCACGTCACAGCTGTCAGAATAGCTATCTTCAAAGAATCAACAAGTGTTGGTGAGGGTGTTGAGAACAGGGAACCCTTGTGCATTGTTGGTGCAAAAATGCAGATTTGTGCAGTCACGGTGGAAATCAGTATGGAGTTACCTCAAAAAATTTAAAATGATAATTAACTCTCAGAAAGAGAAACTAAAAAAAAATCTCATTTATCATTGCAACAAAAAAAGGTAAGATACCTAGGAATAAACTTACCTAGGAATAAACTTAACCAAGGATGCAAAAAACAGGGACACAGAATACAGGAACATTGAAAAAAGAAATAAAGGAAGATATAAAAAAGTGGAAGCATATACCATGTTCATGGATTGGAAAAATCAGCATTATTAGAATGTTTGTGATACCCAAAGAAATCTACAGATTCAATGCAATCCTATTAAAATGCCAACAGCATTTATCACAGATCTAGAACAAATACTCCAAAATTTGATATGAACAAAAAAGATCCCAAATAGCCACAGCAATTTTGAGAAAGAAGAACAAAGATAGAGTCAAGTGGAGGGGGTTAAGGAAGGGAAAAAGGGGGAGACATGTGTAATACTCTCAACAATAAAAACATTTTTTAATTTAAAATGGAACTGCCTTATGTCCTAGCAATATCACTTCTGCATATTTTTCCAAAGAAACCCAAAACACATTGCTGCATTATTTACAATAGCCAAGATTTGGCAGCAGCCCAAGTGTTTATCAGTGGTTGACAGGATAAAAAAGCTGTGGTACATTAACATAATGGAATACTACTCAGACATTAAAAAAAAGATGGTAATCTTACCCTTTGGGACAGTCTGGTTGGACCTGGAGAGCATTATGCTAAGTGAAATAAGCAAGTCAGAGAAAAATAAATACAATATGATTTCACTCATATGTGGGATCTGGGGAACAAAATAAACTAACAAAGTGGAAACAGACTCTTAGATAGAGAATAGACTGCTATCAGAGGGGTGGGGGTTACCAGGATGAGTGAAGGTGAAAGGATTAAGAAGAAAAAAAAACCCTCCTAGATAGGTAACCGCACATTGATTACCAGAGGTAAGAGGGTTGGGAGTGGTAGAAGAGGGTAAAGGGGAGATAAATGGTAATCAAAGGAGACTTGACTGGGGGTGGTGAACACACAATACAATATGCAATAATGTGTTATAGAATTGTTTACCTGAAACCTATATAATTTTATTAACCAATGTCACCTCAATAAGTTCAATAAAAAGTAAGGGAAAAAATCAGACATCCACACAAAAACTTGTACATTACTGTCCATAGACAAATTATTTTATTATAAATAGCCAAAAATGCTAACAACCTAAATGTGCATCAACTGATGAATGGATAACAAAATGAGGTGTATCCGTATAGTGTCATATTAACCAGTAAAAAGGAATAGAGTACGGACACATGCCACAACATGAGCGAGCCTAGAAAACATCATGCCAAGTAAAAGAATCCAGCCACAAAAGATCAGAATTCAGAATGGGAAAATTTGTAGAGACAGAAAGTAAATTTGCCTAGGGCTGGTGAAGGGGGATATAAGTGGTATTGAGGGATGACTGCAAACAGACCTGGGCTTCTTTTGTTTTTGTTTTTGTTTTCTTGTTTGTTTTTTGTTTGTTTGTTTTATCCTCACCCGAGGACATTTTTCCGTTTTTCCTACAGATAGAGTGGGAGGGAGAGAGAGGAAGAGAGAGAGAGAGGGGAACATCCATGTGAAAGGGACACATCGAGTGGCTGCCACCCGCACGACCAACCAGGTCCAGGGACAAACTGCAACCGAAGTACATGCCCCTAGTGGGAACTGAACCCGGGTCTCTCCGGACCTCAGGCGGACACTCCAACCGCTGAGCCAAACCGGCCAGGGCTTGTTTTTGTTTTTTAATCTTCACTCAAAGATATGTTTTTATTGATTTGAGAGAGAGAAGGAGGAAGAAAAAGAGAGAGAAACATTAATGTGAGAGAGAAACATCAATTGGCCACTGGTACACTCCCCCAATGGGGATTGAACCCACAACTTGGGTATGTGCCTTCACCAGGAATCAAACTCTCGACTCTTCAGTGCCTGAGATATTGCTCCAACCCACTGAGCCACACCAGCCAGGGCTGGCTGGGCTTCATTTTAGAGTGATGGAAATGTTCTGAGATTAGATATTAGTGATAGTTGATTATGCTAAAAACAGTGTAATTGCATACTTTAAACCTGTAACTTTATGATATATAAATGATAGTTCAATAAAGCTATTAATAAAATAATAGCCTTCATATGTACAAATAGTAACTAGTTAGATAAGATGGAAGTAAAAATATCATAATAACAACAAAAATACCTGGAATAAATTTACAATGTACAAAATGTATATAAGGAAACAAAGTCTCTTGAACCATACAACAGATTTTGATTGCACACTTTCCTGGTTCTTTCTGATACTTTTGTATGTGTGCCTATAAATACATAAAACCTCCATTTTGACTGCAAAGTCTGGAGAATATGTACTTGTTTTCAAGGTGCAAGAAATGAAATAAATAAAAATATTTGAAAAATAAAGTGAAAACACAAAACATTCCTGATGACCTTAGTTTTTTTCTGCTTTCTAATGCACATGTCTTTATGCAAATGAATATTATTCTAAATGTAAACTCTCCCTTAATTAGTGCAGACCACAGTATTATAAATATAATTTATTTTGTTAATACTTTGTTGTCATACTTTCGGTTTTCTTAAGAAAACCAGTTGGGGTTACTTTTTTTGAAGAAAAGGAAGTTCTGCTTAGTAATCTGGAGTTCTCTTTAGAATATTTGTTAAAAATCTTTCTTTGATACAGAATGATCTCAACTGACATGTTAATGTCTTGTTTTGTGCAGTCTCACGGTTAGAAACCAAGAACAGAGACCCAGGAGGGCTTCCCATGAACTCAGAAGAGATGACCTTCCAACCTGTGAGGAAAGGTAAAATCTCATTTGTTTAGCTCACTAAGTTAACAGAAATGCCTACCTTATTTATTAATTTTTTTGCACTATATGTTTCAGTGAAAACATAGTTTCTGTAACTGCAATTTAGTAATATCAAATTATAATGCAGTATCACATTTTCACTGCAGAATTTCTTTTAATTTATTGTGTGACAAGAAGAAAAATCAGTTTCATCATTAATCTAATGCCTGCTAATCTCAAATATAAATTGATGCTTTTTGACAAAACATAGTATTATTTTATTTTTATGTAATATACTTTTAAAATAAAAGACTATAATGAAACATACACATTTGGTTTTTAGGAAAGTTTTAAAAGTCCTTTTACTTCTTACATATTAACTTATACTTCCATTAATGTACTATTTTTTAAATTTAAGTAAATGCACATACATTACTTTCCGTAATGCCAAATTTTAAAATTGTCTCTTTTCTCACCTGTATTATCAATGATTTACTTTCACCTTTATATTCTTATACCTTTTCTTGGTATTATGGCTATATAATTGCAAATACAAAACAAATATCCTAAAAGCACTGTTCAAATTGGTCTTGTATGAAGTTGTTTATTTTTGAGAGAAGAAAAGGCAGTAGCCTAAAATGTTGATTAAATATTTTTCTTTATTCTTTATCTTATTTATTCTTACCCAGATTTTTCAAAGTCTGGGAAGCACATTAAAATCTTCCACAACTTATGAGTTTCTCAAAAGCAGCCTTTCATCTTATATATTCCAGTATAATGTATTTTATACCAAAGCTTTGAGGTTGTTACATCTGAAACCACAATGCCTAAATCTAGTTCTGGCTGTACCCATCCTGCCAGTAGGACCTTAGAACCTTGGGCACTTTACTTAGCAGCCATATCATGCCTCAGTTTCCTTATATATAAAATGGGGATGGTAATAGTTGGTTGTTGCTAAACCAAAGAAGGGCTGTTGTGAGTGTTAAATAGGACCAGTAAAGTACAGAGAACAGAACCTGGCATAAGGCAAGCATTTAATCCATGTTGGCAATTATTAGTTCTCAATCCTATCCAATAATATAAAATGACCCTTTTAAAAAATTTATCCTTACTGTTGAAATTATTACAGATATCCCCTCTTTTTTTCCCCATTTGACCTCATCCTTCCCACTCCCACCCTGCTCCTGCTTCCTCACACTATTGTGTTCGTTGGTTATGCATATATACATATAACTTTTTTGCTTCATCTCTTCCCACCCCACCCCCCTCTGTGGTTCTTCAGTCTAACAATTAATTTGTACTTCTTAATGCCTTCATCTTTTTCATCCATCCCCCGAAACCCCTCTCCCATCTGGCAACCAACATAAAGTTCTCTGTAACTACATCTCTGTTTCTGTTCTGCTTGTTAATTTTGTTTGTAGATTCAATTGTTGATAGATATGTATTTATTGCCATTTTATTTTTCATTTTTTTGATCTTCTTCAAGAAAATGCTTCAACATTTTATATAATACTGGTTTGGTGGTGATGAACTCCTTTAGCTTTTTCTTGTCTGGGAAGCTCTTTATATGTCCTTCGATTCTACATGATAGCTTTGCAAAATAGAATAATCTTGGTTGTAGGTCCTTGCTTTTCATCACTCTGAATATTTCTTGCCACTCCCTTCTGACCTTCAAAGTTTCTCTTGAGAAATCAGCTGACAGTCTTACGGGAACTCCCTTGTAGGTAACTGACTGCCTTTCTCTTGCTGCTTTTAAGATTGTCTTTAACCTTTTGCATTTTAATTATGATGTGTCTTAGTGTGGACCTCTTTGGGTTCATCTTGTTTGGGACTGTCTGTGCTTCCTGGACTTGTATGTCTGTTTTCTTCACCAAGTTAGTAAATTTTTCTGTCTTTTTGTTTTCAAATAGGTTTTCAATTTCTTGCTCTCTCTCTTCTCCTTTCAGCACCCACATGATGTGAATGTTGGTATGCTTAAAACTGTCCCAGAGGCTCCTTACACTATCCTCATTTTTATTTTTTCCAAATCAATGGTTTGCTTCTCTGCTTCACTGCCTCTACTATTGATTACCTATAAATTATTCTTTACTTCAGTTAGTGCTTCCTCTACTTCTGGCTGTGCTTCCTTCATTTCTGACTGGTCCTTTTTTCTGTTCTTGAGGCCCTTGCTAAGCTCACTGAGCATCCTTATAACCAGTATTTTGAACTCTGCATCTGTTAGATTGCTTATCTCTATTTATTTTCATTCTTTTCCTGGAGTTTTGTTCTGTCCTTTTAGTTGGTATATTTCTTTGTCTCCTCATTTTTTTGCAGCCTCCCTGTGTTCGTTTCTATGTATTAGGTAGAGCTGCTACATCTCCTGGACTTATTAGGACAGCCTACCTTAGGGTCCAGTGGCAAAGCCTTCCTGATCACCCAAGCTGAGCACTCAAGGTGCATCCCTATGTGGACTGTACACTCTTCTATTGTAACTGAGTCCTGATTGCTATTGGCTGTCAATGGGAGGGATTTAGTCAGACTGATCAGCTCCAAGGATTAGCTGTGCCCACTAACCACCAACCTGTGACCACCTTGGAGGACCAGCTGTGCAGAGGCCCACCACACAGAGCAAGGCTTACTTCAGCAGGGCTCTGGTACAGACTGAGTTCACCTCTTAAGTGTGTCACTTGTGGAGGTGGGGCTTTGACGTGGTCTGAAGGTGTCCACTGGCTATGCCACCTCTGGGACCTTCTGGCAGGTGCAGGCCAAGGTCAGTCACAGCCTGTGTTCTACCCAGGGGACAGGCATAAGCTACAAAGCTATACGCAGAGGGCTGCTTCTTGTGCTGGGCTTGGAGGTGCCCAGGCAAGGCCAAACAGTGAACGACAGCCAGCTCCTGTCAGTGCTAGGCCTGGGGACACTTAGCGAGAGGTATGGGGCTCACTAACACCAGATGCTGCTTGTTTGAGAGATTTTAGGAAAATCAGAAGCATGAGCCCAAACAGGCCTTTCCTGTGGTAAAGCCACTGGAAACAGGTTGGGTGAGCCTGAAAATTTGGTGGAGCAGGGCCTCAGGGAATCACCAAAGCAGGGCAAACAGTTGAAGCCAGGTTGCTGGAGTCCCAGATATGGTGCCCATCTGCCGCCCTACAGTAGGGCTCACCCAAGGAACAACAGCCTCCACCAGGATGTCCGTCCGGGAGAAAGCTGCCTCTCCAGCTCTCACCCCGATGGCCAAACATCGAGTTTATCCTTGTGTGTCTCTCATGCCTTTCAAGCTGCCTCTCCTGCAGTAGAGCCTGGAGGGAGCCAGTCAGACTATATTCAATCTCAGACCCTTTAAGAGGAGCTGCCTGGGTCCTCAGCAGCCTCAGCCTTCCTCGGCTTCAGTTACTGCTGGTTAAATAGCCAGAAGTTATAGGGACTTCTCTTCCTGGCACTGGAACACTGATCTGGGCACCTGGTGTGGGATGGGGACTCCTCACTCCTCAGGGAGGACCTTCCCAGCTGAGGTGTCCTGATTTTTATCCACCACACATGGGTGTGGGACCAGCCTGTCCGCCTCCACCCTCCTGCCAGTCTCTATGTGGCTTCTTTAATTTTGTAGTTGTGGGACTTCCATTCAGCTCAATGTCAGGTGGTTCTGAAGGATGGTTGTGTTGCAGTTTAGTTGTAATTTTGATGTGGTTATGGGAGGAGGTGAGACCACGTTTACCTACCGGCCATCTTGAGTTCAGCCCTAAAACAACTTTTTATCCAGTTTAGTTCCTTTTGCTTCCATTTCTACTCAGTTATTAATATTATTCTCATTTACATGAGCCTCCTATATATTTGCCTGTGTATTTGTTTTTAATTTTTGGTAATATTTTGTATGTTTCCAAAAATATAAATAGAGAATTATAATCCAATTATGTTAAGTCGGTTATTTTGATATTTACATATTCTCTGAAACTGCTTGTAATACCTAATTATCTACTTAATTCTTTTTTATTTTTTTATATTTTTTAAATTTTTTTATTTTTTGCTATGTGAACTGTACTTTCTTTGCTTATAGGTTCTTAAGTACTATGGAAATTATATGCTACCACTTTTGAAAACTTTTAAGATTTTCAAAATCATTCTTTAATATATATTTCTTAAATTGATAGGAGTAAATAGATAGCTTTTGAATTTTCATATTGCAGGAACACAGCATACAGTCAGCCCTCGTTTATCGCAGTTAATCAGTTCCAAACTGTACCGTGATCAATCAATTTCCGCAAAGTGGGATTCTTTTTTTTTAATTAATTAATTTATTTTTGTTACAGATGTTTCTCCTTTTTCCCCCCATTAGTTCCCCCCTTTTTCTCCCTCCCCGCCCTGTCCCCAGCTTTGTTGTCCATGTCCATTGTTCATGCATACATGTATGTAAGTTCTGTGGTTTATCTCTCCCGCCACCCCCTCTTCTGGGGATTGTCAGTTTGTACCCACTTCCACGTCTCTGGGACTACCCCATTCCTCAGACTATTATGTTCATTATATTCCACAAATAAGTGAGATCATATGAAACTTGTCTTTCTCTGTTTGGCTTGTTTCACTTAGGATGATACTTTCCAGGTCCATCCATGTCATCTCAAAGGATAAGAGATCTTTCTTTCTTACAGCTGCATAGTACTCCATTGTGTATATGTACCACAGCTTTTATATCCATTCGTGTACTGATGGACATTTGGGCTGTTTCCAGATCTTAGCTATTGTAAATAGTGCTGCTACGAACATGGGGGTACATATATTTTTTTCTGATTGGTGTTTCATGCTTCTTAGGGTATATTCCTAGAAGTGGGATCACTGGGTCAAATGGAAGTTCAATTTTTAATTTATTGAGGTAACGCCATATTATTTTCATAGTGGCTGCACCAGTCTGCATTCCCACCAGCAGTGTACTAGAGTCCCCTTTTCTCCACAACCTTGCCAACACTTGTTGTTTGATGATTTGTTGATGACGGCTATTCTGACAGGTGTGAAGTGATACCTCACTGTTGTTTTAATTTGCATCC